GAGCTTAACTTGGGGCTGGAGGATTCATTTTCAGTGTAGCTCTTGTACACAGCAACCGAGTTGATGCTGCTGACTGGCAGCTCAGCCAATAACTGAGAGCCATGGGCCTTACTTAGCTCCTTTCCAAACAGTTTTACCCTTAATGGAGGATACTTAGTTCCAAAAGAGATTGGAAGGGACAGAAACTCCACCTCTCAAAGGGAAAAGTGATAAAGACCTTGGAAGCTATGTTTTAAAACTGCCACATCAAATTCAAGGAAATCAATTTCAGTTATCATGGATCCTCCAGGAAGCCTTGAGAGTTTAAATGTGGAGAATATAGTATGTATGACCAGCTGACTTACCATGTGTAACACCTGGCATCACATTACTTTGTCACCTACACATTAGTTAAACCAAGATTACACCGTATCAAAATTTCCTGACCCATCCCTCATCTCCAAACTGCTTTTGGTCAAAATAGGAATAAGATAGGAGAGCACCTGACTGAAAAGGATTTGCTTTCTTTTAATGAGTTATTATCAACTGAGTATCAGCTCTGGATAGATATGTAGTAATATTTACACACCTGGCATGAGGCACCTAACTGGTTCAGTCGGTAGAACATGAAAGTCTTGATCTCGGGTTCCTAAGTTCAAGCTCCATACTGGGTGTAAAGCTTACTTAAAAAACGAAACAAAAAAAAATCAAAACAAAACTCTGGCTGATGATGGGGAAAGACATAAAGAATGAAGACAATCATAAATAGCATTAGACATTTGGAAACCATTTTGTATTTAATTTTTTAGACATTCTACATCTAACTTGAGAATAAATATCAAGAATCAGTTTGATCGGGGAGCCTGGGTGGCTCAGTGGGTTAAGCCTCTGCCTTCGGCTCAGGTCATGATCCCAGAGTCCTGGGATAGAGCCCTGCTTCGGGCTCTCTGCTCAGCAGGAAGCCTGCCTCCCCTCCTCTCTCTCTCTCTCTGCCTGCCTCTCTGCCTACTTGTGATCTCTCTTTCTGTCGAATGAATAAATAAAATCTTAAAAAAAAAAAGAATCAGTTTGATCAACTTTAGTTAACCAAGTGGTCTTTAAAAAATTGACTAATTGTTTCACCTTTTTTTTTGATCGGTACAAGATATATTAGCTAGTGTATGGACTTTTTTGGCTGGCCTGTAAAAAGTCGAGGGCAATTGTATTATGTTGAGTGATTTCAGGTAACAATTTCTTAAAAGATTTTATTTATTTGACAGAGAGAGACACAGCAAGACAGGGAACACAAACAGGGGGAAAGGGGGATGGAGAGGAAGGCTCCTCGCTGAGCAGGGAGCCCGATGCAGGGCTGGATCCCAGGACCCTGGGATCATGACCTTAGCTGAAGGCAGGCGCTTAACGACTGAGCCACCCAGGCACCTCTAGATAACAAATCTCTATCTGTTGATTTTCTTATTTGTGTCATAGGCAATATGATCACAAGCTTTAGTTTAGAAACTTCTAGCAAGTGTTGACTCCCATGTCCTGGACTCCTGAGAAGTTAACTTGGCTTTTAAAAATGATGAGTTACTGAGAGGTTTATTTTGAATATTGGAAAGGCAGAATGACCAAAGTACAGTCATGTTTGGTGTGGTAAATACCTGAGATTTATAATATACCAATATCCTTCCATTGGCACCTCTACCTGAGTTTAGCCAGAGCTGCACCATTTCCTTCGTGAAAACTTCTCAATTTAAAAACCCTTTAAAATCTGCATATAGAAATAAAAATTACACACAATTCTTAAAATAATAGAAGAAAACTTCCTTGAACTTGAGAAACTTTTATATTTAGATTGAAATGATTCACTGATACCCAGTATGACAAATTTAAAGTATATCTACAAGTTCCTTGATACTCCTCCCTTCAAGAAGTAAAACTTTATTCTCCTTCCCTTAAAGGTAGGATGGGCTTAGTGACTTGCTTGTAGTTAATAGAATATGATGAAGTATGTAACTCTTGACACTGTGTCTTAAAAGCATTGTAACTTCTTCCTTGTTCCTTCCCATAAATCACTTGCTCTGAGGGAAGCCAGCTGCCATTTCAGAAAGACACTAAGCATCTCTACAGAGACTCACATGACAAGGAACTGAGGCCTCCTGCCAACATCCATGTGATTGAGCCATGTTAGAAGTCGATCCTCTAGCTCCAGCCAAGCATTCAGATGACTAAAGCCCCAGCTCACATCTTCACAGAAACCTCATGAGAAATACTTAGCCAGAACCATCCAGCTAAGTCATATCTGAATTCCTAGCCAATAGCAATTATGGGATAAAATGATCATTGTTTTAAGGTGCTAAATTTTGGAATAATATGTAACCCAGCAGTAGATCATAAATATACCCAAGAAGGATTAAGATTTTAAAAAATAAGGGCACATCTAGAAATTAGGAAAAAAAAAAAAAAAAAAAGCAAACAAACACCAGAGAGAACAAGTTACTTAGAAATAAAATCTGATGAAAACATCTTAATGGTAATAATGAAAGCTGTAAGTCAACAACGACATTTGGATAAGCAAAGATTCAGTTTGCCACTATATCCTCTTTTCAAAAATAATGAAGAAATTTTCAAATTATATAAAAATGTAATAGAATTTAATCATGACCACCTTGAAGATCCTAGGGAAAGATAAAGAATACAGAAAAAGCTATTTTACAATATTTAAGTGGTTGGAGACAGTATGAATAATTTGTAATATGAGTTTTGAAATAAAAATAATTTCCACCTACATAGTATAGTAGTAAACTTTCTAATACATAATACATCATTCAACAAGTATTTGCTAAAACTTATCATGCCTATGTACTTTATTTATTTTTTTTAAGATTTTATTTATTTATTTGTCAGAGAGAGAGAGAGGGAGAGAGAGCAAGCACAGGCAGACAGAATGGCAGGCAGAGGGAGAAGCAGGCTCCCCGATGAGCAAGGAGCCCAACATGGGACTCGATCCCAGGACGCTGGGATCATGACCCGAGCCGAAGGCAGCTGCTTAACCAACTGAGCCACCCAGGTGTCCCGCCTATGTACTTTAAAAAGACATTTCAGCAAGTCTGTGTACTTTGAAGACATTTTTTTAAGAATGAAGGTTTAAGGCCTTGCTCAACTTTGCTCAAGGGTTGCTCAACCAGTTAAGCACCAAATTCTTGATTTCAGCTCAGGTCCTGATCTCTCAGGCTCATGCGATCAAGCCCTACTGGGCCTGGAGCCAGCTTAAAATTCTCTCTCTTCCTCTGCCCCTCCTCACCACTTGGTCTCTCTCCCTCTCTCTTTCTTGCTCAAAATGAAGAAAGAATGAACACAGGTTCAAGACCAGTCCTTAAAGAGTTGCAAAGCATTTCCTGAAGCATTGCATAAAATTAGTTTTCAGAAATGTAGTATTTGTATTAATTTGGTTTCCTGTCCAAAATCTACACTACATTTAACTAAGGTGTAACTTTAAAAAATTTTTTTTATTTATTTGAGAGACAGTGTGTGCACCAGTAGGGGAGTAGCCAGAGATGGAGAGAGAGAATCTTGAGCACTAAGTGTGCTCCAAAGGCGGCTTGACCTCCTCACCCTGATATGGTGACCACAGGGGAGATCAAGAGTTGGATGCTTAACCACTGACCTACCCAGGTGCCCCATAAATGCGTAACTTCTTGCATTCAAATTTTAATGTCCATCTTCAGGAAACCAACCTTTTCCTTCTTATTAATTTTGAGATGGGTAAGTTATTACAACTTGTGACTATTTGGGAAAGCCAGCAATAACATGTTTTATCTTCTAAATGATGTGAGGTTTGGTATGTTTAACTTTTTTTTTTTAAAGATTTTGTTTATTTGACAGGCAGATATCACAAGTAGGCAGAGAGGCAGGCAGAGAGCAAGGAGGAAGCAGGCTCCCCGCTGAGCAAGGAGCCCCATGCGGGGCTCCATCCCATGACCCGAGCGGAAGGCAGAGGCTTAACCCACTGAGCCACCCGGGCGCCCCTGGTATGTTTAACTTTTAAGCATAGGTTGTTTTTAGTATTCGTTATCCAATGGAAAACAGTATGCAATATAAATAAAATTATATATAAAAATTTATAGGTATTTCCTACACATTACAATTAATGCTATTGGTTCCCTAACGTTATTTTCTCTTATCATTTCAATGCTGCATATATATCCAGTTAACATGAAACAAAATTTTAATATTTGGCTCTTACAAGACCTTTTAGGTGGCTCAACAGTAAGAGGGATGGAAGGAATCTTAGGATTCCAACCTACCCATTCTAACATATTAGTTATCCAGACCCCAGTTCCACCTTTCTTCAACCACGCTGGAGAAAAAACAACAAAAAACGGACTACAGAGAAACCTAGCCCCTCTAAACAGTTTCAATCATTCCATAAATAGACAGGCACTCTGAGGCTCGCAATTCTCCATTTAGCCAGGTCTCTCCCTACCCTTTTGGGACACCCTTGCCTGCTGATAAAGCCACTGCGTAAACTTCAACCCTCCTCCTCCCCGCTTCTGTCTGGCCCACGACAGCAGTGGCATCACACAATTCCTGGCCCCGACAGCAGTGGCATCACACAATTCCTGGCCCCGAGGTTGGGCACTGCCCTTCCCCAAAGTAGCGACAAGCGCCGGCAGAAGCTGCACCGTGTGATCACTCCGCAACCCGCGCAGGCCTGCCTCAACCAGCCCTCACGTGGCCTCAGGGGCCCAATCACCGAGGCCCACGCTCATAGAGCCAAAACTCGCGCGGCGCATGCGCTCATAGAGCCAAAACTCGCGCGGCGCCCCGCCCAGGCCGCACGGTGCTTCCGCGTTAATCCTCCCATGAGGTCCCGGTCACCGGAGTTGCGGGTTCCTAGTAAGCGTTGTTTCCAAAGGCGGCTTCGGGAGCATGCCCTGATTGGCTCGCTCTGGAGGCGGGGACAGGACTCATTTGAGTCTAGGACCACTTCCTGAGGCGCGAGGCAGGAAGTTATTTGGTCTCTCTCGAGTCCTGGGGAGAAAGTGCTGTCTGCTGCAGTGGTGGCGGCGAGAACCGGAGGTGGGTCGGGAGACTGGCCGTTCGGTCTCGCCGCAGTCAAGGGCCCGTTTCCATCGTAGCACCACGGCCCTCTTCTCCAGCCCCGAGCCCGGCGCGGCTGCCCGGGGGGCTCTTTCAGGCTCCTTGACGCCGTTCCAAGGGGCATCTACCTGGGCATCGCCTGGGCCTCCAGCCGGGGGACTGACTCCCGGCTTCAGCTCCCCGGGCCACTGTAAGAAGTGCCCTTATCACCCCTCGCCCTGTCCTCCTCCTCCCTGAACCATCGAGACCCTGGTCCAGAGCGATAGCCTTGGACCTGGGACTAGGCGCTCCAAGACGCTCAGCCCCGGCACCCCACAGACGGGGCTCTGCATCGTCTCTGATATGTCACCCACCATCTCCCATAAGGACAACAGTCGGCAACGACGACCAGGGAATTTCAGCCACTCTCTGGATATGAAGAGCGGTCCTCTGCCGCCAGGCGGCTGGGATGACGGTCATCAGGAATTGGTGGGCGGGGAAGGGGACAGAGAAGCTTTTCTGCGGGATACCGGCACGGGTGACGTCTCAAAACCCCCACGGAGCTGCCGGGCCGAATTAAGCAGCATTTTGCTGTTGCTTTTTCTTTACGTGCTTCAGGGCATTCCACTGGGCCTGGCGGGAAGCATCCCACTCATTTTGCAGAGCAAAAACGTTAGCTATACAGATCAAGCTTTCTTCAGTTTCGTCTTTTGGCCCTTCAGCCTCAAATTACTCTGGGCCCCGCTGGTTGATGCAGTTTACTTTAGGAACTTCGGTCGTCGCAAATCTTGGCTTGTCCCTACACAGTATATACTGGGACTGTTTATGATCTATTTATCCACTCAAGTGGACCGTTTGCTCGGGAACACTGATGGCAGAACGCCCGATGTGATTGCTCTCACTGTGACATTCTTTTTGTTTGAATTTCTGGCCGCCACTCAGGACATCGCTGTGGATGGCTGGGCGTTAACTATGTTATCCCGGGAAAACGTGGGTTATGCTTCTACTTGCAATTCAGTGGGCCAGACAGCGGGCTATTTTTTGGGCAATGTTTTGTTTTTGGCCCTTGAATCTGCCGATTTTTGTAACAAATATTTGCGATTTCAGCCTCAACCCAGGGGAATCGTTACTCTCTCAGGTAGTGTATTTAAGCTATTATGCGGTTAGGTTTATTTTACGTTTATGAATCCTATTGACAGAGTGTGGGACGTTGAAGGCAATCTCGTAATTTAATTTGCTGGGAATTATTTTGTGGGAGATTATCCGAGGTTAAGTTTTCTGCTAAAATGAACTTCAGCCAGAATGAGTACAGGAAAGCAGTCATAATTGATGAGTACCCTGCAGTGAGCAGGGAGAGACAGCTCATCCAATAACATTGTTGTGTGATGACAAACAAAACTGCCAGTCTAGGAAGCTGTTGACACTTGCTTTATACATAGATGCACATTTTTTAGAAGTCTGGCGAGTGTGAAGACATGAATCCAGCCCAACTCCTGTGGTTTACATTTTGCTTTTATTGGATTGATATTTCTAATTCTGGTTCATTTCTTCCTCTATTGGTATACCAAGAGTCCTCTTCTAGCCTTCTGGTGAATAGAATAGGGTTAATTTATTCAGCATTAATGAGTTGACAGAGTGACAGAGTTCTAAGGGCCTCCTATGAATAAAGCAGAGTCCAACCCTCAAGAAATAAGAGAAATGAACATTTTTGGGGAGCTCAGGGTTGCTAGCTTGTGAGAGCCAGGCCTCACACTGCAGATAACATTTGACCTTGTTGAATTATAAAATTCTGTGAACTGAATAAGTGGAATTCTAGAATGCACAATGCCAGGTGAAAGTGCGCTGAAGCTGAAAAGTACAAAAAGGTACAGGACAGTACCTATGGTGTTCAGAGTGCCCGAAGCAGTAATTGTGTGGACCAGGTTTGGGAAACAGTGATGAAAGAAAAGTTGTGACCCAGTTAGTAAGATTTTCTTGAATTGCTATGAGAAGAAGTTTGAAGTTTATCCAGTAAGCAATTTTGTGTAAGTTCTGCAAAATTTCTCCTTTTTCTGAATAAGTAAAATATATGTCCTTGGAAGGTTTTCTGAGTTGTTTTTTTTTTTAAAGCTTTCCTAACAATTAGGAAACAAAAGTAAAAATTAGCAATATCAGGAATAATCAACATCAGGAATGTGGTAGAATTCTTTATTCTGATAATGATGTATTTAAGTGATTCTCTTGAAATTTAAGCAGTTCAGCTTTCTCTCATCTTCCCAGTACTAGCTTGGGGATTCCAGACAGGGTAAATGTCAGGGGTAGCTGTGTGGTGAGGGAAGTATAAGGGTTATATAATAATATTTCAGTGGTGTGGAGGATGGAGGGTTCACACCTGCACTACTCATCTCTTGAAATGCCCTGTAAGGGACCCCCTTATCTACCTCCTCAAACAGCTGTTGAGCTACTGCTACTGAAGAAATGATGATTATAATTTCCTTAATTGGTTTGGGGCCGAAAATGGTTGAGAGATACTGCTTTGCACTTAAACAGATTGGTCTCAAAGTGTTCTGGAGCCCCACTCCTGCTCTATGGATAATTCTCTGCCTAGAAATATTTTGTGAATGCATTGTATTAGCATCTTACTGCTTTTTATGCAACTTTTCATTTTGTACCGTGACTATTGATGTCACCAGGAAGGACTAATGAAATGATGTATTATTTAACATGGGAAAGCCTCACAGCAGATGTCAAGATTTAAGAGGTTGTGGAAACTAAATTAATGACTAGGTAAATTAGAGCTTTCTCTACAAGAATGATTGATAAAACATCATTCCACAGAATGCCATTATGCATTCAGTAGCCATGTTAATTATATCCTTTCTTAGTCACAACTGTTCCCCAATGGGAAGATCAAAATTGTGCCATGTTGGATTTTTATTTACACTGATTTGTCCTTTTGAATAGCTGTTTGTTCTGTGAAATTTGAACTGTTTCCAGGAAATTGTAAAAATAGCTTACTATTTAGTTTTTTCTGTGTGTAGTAGACTGCTGTTTTTAGTTCAGACATTTTAGTAAGTTAAGAGTTGAAGAGTTTTCATTCTCTTCTTTATGATAGTATATATTATATTTATAGCTTTGATCTTTCTGGAACTTAGTAGCAGTATAACAAAAAAGAAAGAAAGAAAGGAATAAGAGGAAAGGAAAGGAAGGAAGGAAAGAACAGCAGTTTTTAGGAATTTTAAGAGCACAGAAAGAATCATGAAGGAAGTAAAATTGCTTAGGTAGTAAAAGAAGAGCTCAAACATTGAGGCAGATGTTTAGAAAAATCAGAAAATTATAAGCCTAATTATGAATTATAAAAATGAATTATGGCATATTTTAGAACTGTAAAATATATTGTCTGATTAACAGTTTGTTTTGAGTTACAGATAAATAGAAATGGAATGTATTGAGAAAAGACAGTTTTGCCATTTAGAAAGCAGTAATCTAAATAATAAATTTAGAACATGAAGGATAAGATGAGAAAAATCCCTTAGAAACAAAACTTTGATTATGCTGAGATTGGCTTTTTGGTACGTCAGGGATCCAAGGCAGTCCTGAACTCAGAAGGGAGCTTTTTCTATCCTGCCCCCTTTGGTTTTCAGGGATCTTATGAGCAAAAAGAGATGACCTTTTGGGGCACCTGGGTGGCTCAGTGGGTTAAGCCTCTGCCTTCCGCTAAGGTCATGATCTCAGGATCCTGGGATCAAGCCCTGCATTGGGCTCTCTGCTCAGCAGGGAGCCTGTTTCCTCCTCTCTCTCTGCCTGCCTCTATGCCTACTTGTGATCTCTGTGTGTCAAATAAATAAAACCTTAAAAAAAAAAAAAAAAGAGAGACAACCTTTTGAGCTGCAAGAGGTGATGAAAGTAACCCAGAAGAACACAGATATTAGAACATAGTTTTATGACTTGGAAAGATAATATATTCCTTCTTTTTTTTTAAATAATTTAGATTCTGATTTGTATTTTTGGAAGTTGATTTTTTTTTTAATTGAGGTAACATTGGTATTAATAGTATTAGTTTCAGTTGTACAACATAATTCAGGTTTTGTATACAATACAAAGTGGTCACCACAGTAAGTCTAGTTAGCGTCTCAATTCATTCTTTTCTTTTTCAAAGATTTTATTTATTTAGAGAGAGATCTTGAGTGTACACACACAAGCTGAGGGGAGGGGGAGAGGGGGAGAGAATCTCAAGCAGACTCCCCACTGAGGCTGAAGCTTGTCATGGGGCTTGATCCCATGACCCCAAGATCATGACACAAGCTAAATCAAGAGTTGGATGCCAAACCAGCTGAGCCACCCAAGCGCCCCAGCCATCTCAATTCATTCTTATAGGTGAAGAAACTGAGGTCCAGTGCCTAGTTGGAGGTAGAGATATAGGATTCCCCCCACTATCTGAATGTAGAGCATTCTTAGAAAACTTGTAAGCTAAAATGGCATAAAGCAAAGAGTATCCACACTTTATTTTACAAAAGACCTACTAGTATCTTTCTAATGGTTGGTAGGAAACTAGGGAAAGCCTTGAAACCTAAATATAATTTGTGCTGATTGGGCTTTTCTACCAGAGAAAAGTAGCACTCTTAACTGCTGATGTCTAAAAACATCAGCCCACTTCTGGAATACCTGATGGCCTAAAAATGACAAGAATTTTTTTGTTCTGTTTTTTAAGTGACCAGTGGCATTTATTCACTTAGTGCCTGTTTGGTTCTAGCCATGTGATAGGTGTTAAAATTTGAGAATTTTCTGCTCCCAAGGAATTTATAATGGGACTTGGCAAACCAAAATGCTGGAGTAGGTAGATGAACAATGTAAAGGAATCACGTGATTTGGTAGAGGACTGTAGGGTTTGGAGGGGACAGTGATGATTGAAAAGCTCATGCCCATCTAAGGGTGGGGAGCTTCGGTTTTCAATAAATTGGTGTCTTGTGGCAGTAGGATCCTAGGATTGCCAAATCTTATCAGTATTCAAGAGAAGCCGGAGCTTTCTTTTTTTGTTGCTTTTGTAATTTTTAAAACATTATTAGACTCAGATGAAATATGTCTTTAGTCTAGATCTAATCTGTGAACTGGTAATTGAGGCCTACTCTTCTAGAAGCAGTGATAACAGTAATGAATAGGGTAAGGAGTGGGGTATTTGGGTTGGGGGCAGGTTAGTCTGATACTGGAGAAGAGAGCTAAACGTATTAGACCTTAAGAATTTGTTTGTCACATAGGTAGGCATGAACATATAAGAGTCAATCAGGAAAAAAGGAACTATTTTGAAAAAAACTGATGTTGAAAGAAAAGCTAATTAAACTGGCAATGAATATACTTAATACAGTATTTGTAAGGTATTCTTAGAACTCAGAAGAGAGCAGGACCAATTAATTCTTACTTAGTGACAACTTTCTTTGTCCTGCTTCCTGAAGCAGGACTCAATATATTTTTTGCATGACCAGAAATGCTCTTTAGAATGTGGCGAGGACTAACCCATTTCTAGATAGACCAGGTATTTTTAAATAGGCTGTAATATATTCTTTAGCATGTACATTTAGACTTAAAATATTCTCCTGCATTCTCAGAAGGTAAAATTATAGAGGTAGATAACAGATGGGCAGTTGCTAGAGATTGGATGAGGAGAAGGTGAGTTTGGATGATAGCATGAGGGAGTTTTGGGAAGTGATGGAACTGTTCTGTATCTTGCTTATGGGGTGGTGATTTGAAATTTATATATGTGTTAAAATTCATAGAACTGCAAACCAAAAAAAAAATTAGTTTTACTGTATAATAATTTTAGGAGTCTTTATAAAAATAAAAAAAAAAAAAACAACTAATCCATTGCCTTAAAAGCCAATCTCTGGGTAAATATCATACAAAGTATGTGATATGAAATCCTTGAATTTAGCTATCATTTTGCTTTGAATAGGACAAGTTCATAAATCTGGTGGATCTTACATCTCTAGACACACATTTGTCTAGAACTTATTTTCAAATATTGGGACCGTAGTAGTAAAGTGAGAAAAGTAGAGGAATACTAGGCCTAGAAGATTCAGGAAGGATTAGATATTAAAAACTGGAGCTCACATCCCTAAAGAAGGTCTTAAAGCCTTTTTTGTTTTTAAAACAAGGCAAAGGAGA